AAAAAAAAAGTTATTACAAAGAAATAAATTAGGAAAGGCTAAAGCAATGCTTAGAGGACATTTATATCAAGTCCCTCTTTCCTAATCTAGTATATCCTCCAAAAAAGTATAAAACAACAAAAAACGAAAAAAAATAGAAGTGCACAAAAAATGGCCTCAGCATAATGTGAAGACAGAGAAAGTCCAAATTTCAAAATGACTGTAAAGAAAACAAAACAAAACAAAACACCAAATCATGACAAGAAATCTCTGAAGTTCTTCCTCTCCTCTGTTCTAATGCAAGATTTTGTGCTGAGCAAAGCCAACTAAGATAAACTGAGGAAGAGAGAAAATGGGAGTTAGTTACTTAAGGCAGATCTAAAAGCACAACTAAAATAGTTAAATGTGTACTAAAAATCTGAAATTATTTCAAAATGTATCCTATGAGCAGAACAAGAACTAACAGGAAAGCGATCTACAAGTATACATGATGTGAAAAAGTGGCATTCAAAATAAGGAGTTTCAGGGCAGCGATAAATGTCAAAAAGGAAAAGAGGTGGGCTTTGGAAACCAGGTGGTGAAAGGGGGAAACAGAAAAAGCGTAAGACTTTTTGCTCCTACAAGTAGAGAGAACCAATAAATGGAAAAATCATATAATTCCTCCCCAGCACAAAACAAATACACAACACCAATAACAACAAATGTATTTACAGTATCTGGGCTTTGCTATAGTGACACAAGAGGCTATCAACGAACTAGGAATCTTGAAAAACTCACATGAAACACAAAAGAAATAGGAAAAAAGAAAGGAAGAGATCCATATAAAGTTGTTGAAGTTATAAGAAATCAAAATTTAGCACAAACCAGCTGCGGAAAATCCTCTCAAAAAAGTTACGCAGAAAAAAAAATCTGTAAGACAACACTCTAATCCATTAAATGTATTCAAACAACTATTTGGGGATAAGAAAATTCCCTTTGAATCAGAAATTTAGAAGCTAAGTAAAAAGTGCCCTCCCCTTAACATACACATGAAAATAACAAATAGGAAAAAATGAACAGAGAACTGATTGCACTTAGGAAAGAAATGGAAAAAAAAAAAAGACAAAAGACAATTACAAGATAACCAAAAATAAATACACTAAAACAAAACCCCCCAAAATTAGTAATAGGCAGGGGGAAAATCAACAGAATATACATAAAATAAAGAGAGAATTCAGAAAGTTTGGCAAATAGTAATCAGGCAAATTATGATTAGCATTCATGTAATTGGGACCCATGAAAAAGAAAAGCAAAACAATGGAAGAGAACTAATATCCAACACTATATTGCAAATCAATCAAGCAATCAATCTTCATTGAGATGAAAGAAAACCTGAAATTTTAAAAAGACATATCAGTTACCTGAAAGAAAGGTGACCCAAAATGAACAACTCTAAGATATAGCTTATTAAAAGTATTCAATTGAAACATAAAGAGAAATAAAAAAGGACTTAAAAAAAAGATGAAATAAACTACTAGGCCAGGGCAAAAGAATTGGACGGGCATCAAATTTCTCAAAAATGACACACAAAGAGAGTCAACTTTGAAATAGCCTAATAAGAAAACACAGTGAAAGAAAGCTGAACCAAGGATTTTACATCCAACCAATCTGTCCCTCAAGCATCAAGTCAATGGAAAAAATTTTTCAACATACAAATACTGTTTGAAAAACCTACCCATGTAAGAGATGAGTGGGAAAACTTCAGAAAAAAAGAGTAAAGGTGAGAATTTTAACATATATTGAAGCAGGTTAAATACTAAAACCAACATTGAGACCAGGATGTGAAACTAATTTAAAGCTGCTTTATGTTTTTCCAAAGCAGAAAATATGCTAACTGAAAATAATTGAGCAAGTAACTTTAAGAAACAGTAGTCTGATTACATACTGTAAAGCTAAGACAAAGATAATTGTACATAGATATTTTATTCTAGTTAGTTAATTTGTTTTCACTAACGTGTTGAAATTCTAAAACTACTTTGTGTATTTATAGGAATTGAACAAATAAAAAGTATACTACAGATAAATGAGAGCCAGGTATCTACCTTTTTAAAAAAGAAATTACAAATAAGGAAAGGGGAAAGGCTAGACTGAGTGAACTGTATGGGGTTTAGATTAGAATCAGAGCTCTCAGATTGAACTCATAGTTTATAATACATGTACAAAGAGATATATAGAGAAAAATATAGATGCCTGTGAATGTGTGTGTAGAACATATATTTCCTACTTCTACAAAGCAATGACACCCAATGTTATTAATGAATGTACCTAGTGCCCAGATCATGATTTCTGAATAGCATTCTAAAACAAAAACAAAAACCACGGCTCCTTGGAGAAATGGTGAATTCCATTGTTGAATCAAGATGAGACTAGAGCATCATATGTGTTAGAAAGTAAGGATGTGCTCAGAAAATGATGGGACGTGTGACAGGACATAGAAGCCAAATTATAGGAAGTTCCAGTGACCAAGTTATTATTTTGAGAAACAAAATAAATAATGAAAGTAATGGGTTATTAACTATAAAATAAAACATATCTATAAGTCTACACTGAGTAAATAAATGAGTAAATAAATGGGGGAAAGTCACAGTTCTTCCTTAAGGTAAAATAATGATTAATATTTGTAGAAGGAATGATGATGATATTGAGTCACCATTTAGCAAACAGAATACTGTTGCGGGTAAGAATCAATGATAGATACTAGCTTAGTAATGTGTGCTGAAAAACATTTGCATAGTTTTTCCCATGACAGTATCTCCTTACAACATATTTATTTATCAAAAAGGGACAAATAACAACTTCATACTGGGGAAACCTGGAAGAAACCATACTTAACCAAGTGCTCAAAGTTATCACCAGAAATATGGTATATTAATAGCATATAGCTCCTGAAGAGGCACAAGATTACTTCTGTGGTTTCTTGGCAAAAAATGCATCAGCTCAGACTAATAATGAAAATATCAGACAAGTTGAGGGGCATTCTACCAACCAGTTCACCTTAAAAGTATCATGTTTATGAAACAAACAGAAAAACTGAGAAATTCTACCAGATTGAAGGAGGATTAGGAGCCATAAGAACAAAATGCGATGTGTGATTTTTGTTGGCGTCTGAACCAGAGAAAAGGACATCAGTGACGCACCTGCCATAATTTGAATAGGTTGGGAGATTAATTAATAGCATTGTATCAATATTAATTTATTGATTTAGATAAGTGTTCCATGGTTATGTAAAATGTTAACCTTAAATTGAAGAGTTTATGGGATTTCCATGTATAAATACTATTTTACTAAGTCTGTCTTATTTTGAAAATAAACAATTAAAGCAATCTAGGAAAACAGCAAACTAAACCCAAGGACAGTAGATTAATATAATAAACCAAGTATTGTAAATCAATTAAATTTAAGATAATTTTTCAACAGGGAAAATTGACAAAGCCAAAATTTGATTTTACAATAATGCTAAGAAAATTGAAATAGTCTTTCAAGATTGATTCATAAATGAAAGAATAGATTACTAGTATCAGGAAAGACAAAGGTGAAAAACCCTCAGATCCTAAAATATTAAAATATCACAAAAGATATTATGAAACAATTTAATATGAATACATTTGAAAATTTTAATTTCTTGGAAAGTCCAACTTACCAAAACTGACTAATAAAGTAATCAAACTGTTAAAAAGTAAACTCTAGGCCAATATGACTTAACCAAATAATTCTTCCAAATATTTAAGAAACAGCATTTATTTTAGATAAACTCTTTCAGAGATAAAAAGAGAAGGAAAAGGTATCGTATTTGTAGATGCTAGCATAATCTTGATGCCAAAACTGAAAAGGACATTACAGAATGCGAAATAACTGATGTCCTTCATGAACAAAGATGTAAAACTCCAAAACAAAATATTATCAAACTAAATGTAGTGATATTTTCTAAAGGTTACCATATCAAAACCAAGTAGCATTTATTACAGAAATGCAATTTGGTTTAAGTTGAAAAGTCAAAGTTACTTAGGAAACAAGTGGTAAGTAGAATAAAAGGCAAATTATGATCGATATGATTATTTCAGTAAATGCACAGATTATTTGAAACATTATGAAGGAAAAAAGAACCCTAGCAAAATAAGAAAAAAAAGAAACTAACAAAGAGTGTCATGAAAAATAAGCCTATACCAAATATTATATCTAATAGTGAAATATAGATTGTTTTCCCTGATACCTTGAACAAGCCAAGACTATTCAACATCTAACTTTAGTCCTAGCCAGTGCAACATGGTGTTAAAAAAATATGATTTTGTTACTTACAAAATATACACTATTTGCAAAGTAGTCATTATTTGTAATAGTCATTACTCTCTATCTTTGTCGAAAATCTAGAAGAGTGTAACAATAATTAAATTTGATAAACAAACTTAGCAAGACTCCTGAAGACAGAGTAAATATGCAATTATCTATTCTATTTCTATATACTGCTAACACAAAATTAGAAAATATTTAAAGGATCTATTTACACTTGCATCAAAAACTCCATATATATAGAGAGAGAACTAAATCTAGTAAAATATATTCAACACGTCTTAACAGGAAACACTAATAAAAATAAATATATAAATTGTGGAGTATATGATACTCATGAATTTGGAATGGTAAACATTCAGTATGGTAAAGATATCAAGTTCCCTATGTTGACTGTAGATTTAATGCAATCACAATAAAAATGTTTGCTGACTTATATTTTTTGTTTGTTTTAAAGATTCATAACAGGGGAGCAGAACTTAGAATTTAATTATGTTATAAAGATTATACATAAATGCAAAGACCAAGGATAACTATCCTGACAAAGAAAAGCAACGTAGGATCACCTAACCCTAAATATACTAAAAAAGGCTTATAATTCTACATTAATTAAAACAGTGTGGCATGGCACAAAATTAGAATGACTTGCCTTTCAAATACTCTTTTATGAAATACCTCTCAGCTTTTCAGAGAGTTTCATCAAAACTTTGCTGTTGCACCTTTTGTTGTAGAATTTGTAAAAAAAATTACATCAATTAGGCTTATATGCCTTTCTTCCCATATAGGACTGAACCTCCAAAACTAGTGTCATTCCAATTAATAATTGTCAAACCCAGCAGTGTCTGATGTACATCAGCACTCAAGGAATATGAGATCAATGGTAAAAACAACATTAGTACATGTGGTTTTCATAGTCCCCCAAATCCCAGAAAGAGAACTCAAACTTACCTCCTATATCCGGGCGAAGCTTATTGTCATAGCCTTGAAGCAATGAATTGAGGATTTGTGTTATATCTCCTTCATGAATCTTTGGTGCCAACACCCAAGTTTTGTTCACGGTTAAATCCTCATCATCTTCATCATCTGCTTTATCAATGCTAAATAAGTCCCCCAAAAAAAGAATGACAGAAAGTTTTCAATCAAATTGTGTATTTAAAAAATAGTTCAAGCTTATTATAATTATTGTAATTTTCTTAGAGAGTAGTAAGGGGGGAAAAAGGTATTAGAAATATTTTACATTTAGCAAGACTAGCACTTTCATCATATGAACTGCCCTGACTTAATACTCAAAAATTAAGAATTTAGTAGAAGAAATATAACACATAGCATTAATATAAAAATAAATATTGGTCCCCACCACCACAACTGTCATTAAAGACCATAGAAATTATGCATGGAAAATGTGAATGGTTGTCCTATATATCTGCAATACATAATCTGTACACCATACATGGTGATTCTAAAACACCACACCCCAAAATTAAAAGGTAAATAAACATAGGAAAAGTTGTAATAATTAGCCTGGTAAAAGTATAAAAAAATTGTTGTACAAAAGAAGAATTAAGGAAAAATGGGTGAAGAAAGATTTGAGGGGGAAAAAAGTAAGTATTGAACACATCTATGTTTCTTTTTAATCAGAAGAACTCCGGCGTCTTATTCTAAAAACATTGTCAAAGATTGTCTTATCATCAAATCAAGAGTGGGTGTCTCACCCTCCACACATATTTGGGGGAGGTGTGACTATTAAATTTTAGGACTGGAAGTTAGAATTCAGGGATCAAATAACCCACCACCTTTATATTGTAAATGAGAAAGCTGAAGACACTAGAGAACTGAAGTACAACCTTATTTATTAGCAAAGCTGACAATCAAGTTCTACTGCTCTAGTTAATCTTCCTGCTACCCCTGTGTGTTTAACAACCATAAGGATTCCGATTACTTCTGAATTGTGGTAGAAAACACAGAAATACAGATATTCATCTACAGTTCCTCAGAAGTAACAAGCTACTCTTTATTATCCATCAGTAACTCCATCTTCATTTGTCTAAGATCATCCTAGATTTAACATACCCTACTTTAGTAAACATTAGTCCTCCGGTGAAAAAGGGTCAAAAGACTAAACACATTAATAAAATCAGATAGGGCCGGCCGAGTGGAGCGATGGTTAAGAACTCGCTTGGGATGCCAGAGGGCCCCAGTTCGGATCCCACACATGAGGGCCAGTGACACTGCCCTCTACAGCTAAGATGCTGAACAACAGTTCAACCTGGAGCTTGGCTTGCTGTGAGTCGCTGGCGACGGCATAGGCTGCAGCCCCTGTGGCAGTGGGTTGCCATGGGCTACCATATGTAGCCAGCAGCCAGC